GGGGGGCACGATGCCGCAAAAGAGCCGCAGTTCCAGTCAGCGCTTCTTGCGCGATGAACATCCTCCACTCACTGCGTTTCCTGTTTTGGTTTGTTGAACTGTTTGTTTGCCTGCCTGCGTCTTGAGGGCGCCACCTGAGCAGCAGGGGCAACTTGGCTTCCGCCCCGTTGTATTCCGTTCTCTTCCCGATTGCTGTTTCGTGGCGCCTGCTGCCTCGGCATGGGGCCGCCTTCCTGCAGTTGCTCATCCTGCTCCGTTTCCCGCTTGCCTTCCTCTCCCTCCCTTTTCTCCTCTTGCGTTCGCTCCCGCAGACAGCCGTCTTTGCCGCCGCGACCGCTGCTGCTCAAACGCAATTCAGCCACAAGTAAACACACACACACACACACACACACACACACACACACACACACATTTTCTTAGAGACATGTGCCGGCCACGCCGCGGCGTGCCACTTCTCCCACTGGCGGCGCTTCTGCTGCTGCTGACGGTGCACTGCGCCGGCAGATGCCTCGCCGCCGCTCCCGCCCTGCGGCACCGCTGCGTGTCTGGGGAGGCGGCGTTGGGAGTCGCGCCGGCGACCGCGGTGGTGCGAGAGGTGCCGCGGAGGGGGCAGGGCGCGATGCAGGCGTACACCGTCGCCACGCAGACTGCAGATGGCGGCGACGGCTGGGCGCCCATCCGCATCAAGGTGTCCGCGAGGGACTTGGAGGACCCGCTGAAGCACTGCAGCGCAGAGGGGGAGACGCGCATGACCGGGGATGGCCGCCGGGTAACCTGCGAGGCGGAAGATGTGTTGGGGGAAAACAAGAAGGACATTCTTTTGCGGCAAATCCTCCCCGCGGCAATTAAGCTGCACGCCGAGCGTCTCTCCGTGAAGCCGGTGAGGGGTCTCATCCGTATGCCGGAGTTCGGTCTAGCGATTTGCGGAAGGTTTACTATTCCTGCCTGGCATCGCAGCACCGGCGTGAGCGACGCCGATCTGCTGCTCTACGTCAATGCCCTTCCGACTGTGGACGCTCTTGCGTGGGCGATGGTGTGCGCCAGGCTGGTGGATGGACGTCCGTATGCTGGCGCCTTGAACTTCAATCCCCGGTCCATAAAAGCCGATCAGGAATCTGTCCGTACTGCAGCCCACGAGATTGGGCACGTTCTTGGGTTTGCATTGGAAGAATTTGTGAGGTTTGGCATGGTGTCGCAGGTCCCCAGTGGGCCCGGGAAGGATATGGCGTGGGTGGTTACCTCGCCGACGGTGAAGGAGCTGGCGCGGAAGTACTACAACTGCCCCACACTTGAGAACATAAAGCTGGAGGACGCGGGGTGTGCGGGGTGTGCGGGGTCGCATTGGAAGCAACTCTACGCAAAGGAGGAACTGATGGCTACTGTGGGCCAGCCGGGGTATTACTCGGCACTGACGCTTGCGGCGTTTGCGGACATGGGCGTGTACAGGGCCAACTTCAGCATGGCGGAGCCGATGAGGTGGGGCAACAACTCTGGCTGCGGGCTGCTGGAAAAGAAGTGCCTGACCGGCGGCCACACCGACTACCCCGACATGTTCTGCAAACAGCTTTGGGATGAGAAGAAGCTGCTCTGTACGCATGACCGCCTGTCTCTGGGGAATTGCTATCTCGTGCGACACAATCAGCCCCTTCCGCCGCAGTATCAGTACTTCGAGGGCGCCAGGCTTGGCGGCAGGGCGGTGTTCATGGACTACTGCCCTTACGTTATTGGGCGTGCGGAGCAGGGGTGCACCAACGGCACGGCTCGTGCGATTGTCGGCAGCTTCATTGGCCCCAACTCCCGTTGCGTGAAAGGGAATGACCTTAAGTGAGTGGAAGCCCCATTGGCGATGTGTGCGTGAACACTCAGTGCGACGGCGGCAAGCTGAAGGTGCAGTTCCGTCGCGACACAACGTGGCACGAGTGCGAGGAGGGCAAAACCGTTAAGCCCGAAGGGGAGCACTGGAGCGGGAGTATTGTGTGCCCCAAGTACGCCGAGGTGTGCGACGTCCCCCCCAACATCAACGCCCACCCAATACCGGTGGTTGCGCCGCCGCTGACAGAAGATCCACCAGCCGCAGAGGGCATGAAACCGGCTGAAGGGGAGAATGGCGGCGCGGAGGTCAACCCTGCCGGACCCGGCGGCGAAGCGTTGACGCAGAACGCCGCCGTTGCACACGGTGCCGGCACGGATCGCGGCGGCAGCAGCAGCAAGGGTTCTGGAGCTGAGGGTCCGTCTGCAACGAGTTCGTCGGGCAAGGTGGAAGGCGGCGTTGACGTTGCCGCGGGACACACGAATGCGGCAAAAGACAGTGAACAAGAGGGAGACGGTGCGGAACGTCCAAGGACGGCTGAACACGGCGGTGCCACTCAGGAAGCCGTGACAAATTCTGCGGACAGCACTGCCACCAACGCCCT